TCTCTTATGAACGGCTAATTCCCTTGAGCAGGCAATTCACCCCCCCTGTTTTTCTTTTGTGTAACCAGCCAAAATACGGGTAGAAGGTCATTGATGTGCGAATAATAGGGACAGAATGGTGCTTTGACGTGGACATCTCAAAGTGTGAGAGATACACGGCCATGCCATGTGCTTTACGGCTGCGCTTTGCTTTGATCTACCTGACAGCTGACCATAAATCAGCAAAATTAAATTTAATTATTTATTTATTTTCTCATCTGCAAGAAAACAATTTTCGTCGTGTCTTCTTCAGCGATTTATTGAACGATGGCCTTAAAAATCTTCCTCACAAATATGCAACGTTATTTATTATCTACTGCACTTACTTTCATATTCTATTGTAGTCGACACTGCAAGGAAATACCTAGTAATACCCGCTTTGCTGCATAACCGGGCATAACGTACCGTAGAACGTTAGACATGTTGAATGTATTACGTGTAGCTTGGTCGGCGAACAAGGCACCTGTCAACGAAATGCATCTTGTTCAGCGACAGCCTCATAGGTAAATCATAAAATCAAACGTCAAGGAAGGGCTTACCTTGTATCAAACTGAACAGACGGCTAGTTTACATGTCACATGATGAGGGAACTCAAATTTAAAATGTCTACGAAAGATTTTTTCTTCGACGAGTCCCAGCCATCTGTCGAACGGTGAGGAATATTATCGCCGTGCAGTGAAACGATTCTTGAACAGTCTCTCATGTGTGGAACAAACCTCGCCTGCAAGGCGTCCAACGGCTCCACAGCATAGTTAACTTAAGTGACCGAGACTGAAGCTAAAAATCGAAGCAACAAAAGGCAGCCGTTGGGTCGATAGGGAAAGCAAATAACGGCAGGGAACAAAAAACATAATGGCAAGAAAAAACACAAGGGAGATAGCGGCCTAATACTATACGACCGCTGGTGTGTGTGATTCAGATGGCAGATTAGTGGTTAGATACGGTACGTGAGGTACGATAGGAGGAGAGAAGGAATTGGCCAGCTGGTAGGAGTCCGTTGCGCCCCATCAACTCATCAACTATTGATCGACCCCCTCGACGTTTCACACGACCGTCCGCAAAATCCCACCAGCCTCCTATCAGCCAACAATCGCCAATTGCCTCGACAACTAACGAATGGTCGACAGTTGTGCAAGCGGCAGCGGCAAGCTGTGACCTTTAGGTTTCAGCTGGCGACCGCCGAGCGAACCTCCGGCCACAACTGTGCTGAAAGTGTGTT